TAGTGCTGCAGTAAACATACATGTGCATGTGTCTTCATAGTTGAATGATTTGTATTCCTTTGGATATATACCCAGTAATGGGATTGCTGGGTCAAATGGTATTTCTGGTTCTAGATCCTTGAGGAATCACCATGCTATCTTCTACAATGGTTGAGCTAATTTACATTCCCACCAACAGTGTAAAAGCATTCCTATTTCTCCACAGCCTCTAGCATCTATGGTTTCTTGACTTTTTAATAATCACCATTCTGACTGGTGTGACATGCATGGTATCTTATTGTGGTTTTGATTTGCATTTCCATAAGGATCAGCGATGTTGAGCTTTTTTTCATATGTTTGTTGACTGTGAAAATGTCTTCTTTTGAGAAGTGTCCAGATCTTTTGCCCACTTTTTGATGGGGTGGTTTGTTTTCTTCTTGTAAATTTGTTTAAATTCCTTGTAAATTTTGGATATTAGACCTTTGTCAGGTAGATTGCAAAAATTTTCTCCCATTCTGTAGATTGCTGGTTCACTCTGATGATAGTTTCTTTTGCTGTGTGGAAGTTCTTTAGTTTAATTAGCTCCCATTTATCTATTTTGGCTTTTGTTGCAATTGCTTTTGGCATTTTTGTCATGAAGTCTTTGCCAGTGCCTATGTCCTGAATGGTATTACCTAGATTTTCTTCTAGAGTTTTTATGGTTTGGGGTTTTTATTTAAGAATTTAATCTATCTTGAGTTAATTTTTGTATAAGGTGTAAGGAAGAGGTTCATTTTTAGTTTTCTGCATATGGCTACTACTTTTCCCAACACTATTTATTGAATAGGAAATCCTTTCCCCATTGCTTGTTTTTGTCAAGTTTGCTGAAGATCAGATAGTTGTAGATGTGTGGTGTTATTTTTGGTCTCTGTTTATTTAGGTCTCTGTTCTGTTCCATTCCATTGGTCTATATGTCTGTTTTGGTACCAGTGCCATGCTGTTTTGGTTACTGTAGCTTTGTAGTATAGTTTGAAGTCAGGTAGTGTGATGCCTCCAGCTTTGTTCTTTTTGCTTAGGATTATCTTGGCTATATGGGTTCTTTCTTGATTCCATATGAAATTTAAAGTAGTTTTTTCTAATTCTATGAAAAATGTCAGTGGTAGTTTGATGGGAATAGCATAGAATCTATAAATTACTTTGAGCAGTATGGCCATTTTCATGATATTGATTCTTCCTATCCATGAGGATGGAATATTTTTCCATTTGTTTGTGTAATCTCTTATTTCCTTGAGCAGTGATTTGTAGTTCTCCTTGAAGAGGTCCTTCATATCCCTCATTAGCTGTATTCCTGGGTGTTTTATTCTCTTTGTAATGATTGTGAATTGGCTCTCTGCTTGTCTATTGTTGGATTAAAGGAATGCTTGCAATTTTCGCACATTGGTTATGTATCCTGAGACTTTGCTGAAGTTACTTATCAGCTTAAGGAGTTTTGGGGCTGAGATGATGGGGTATTCTAAATATAAAATGTCTGCAAACACAGACAATTTGACTTCCTCTATTCCTATTTGAATACCCTTCATTTATTTATCTTGCCTGATTTTTGCCCTGGCCAGAACTTCCAATACCATGTTGAACAGGAGCAGTGAGAGAGGGTATTCTTGTCTATGTTGGTTTTCAAAGGGAATGCTTTCAGTTTTCCCCATTCAATATGATATTGGCTGTGGGTTTGTCATAAATAACTTATTTTGAGATATGTTCCATCAGTACCTAGTCTATTGAGAGTTTTTAACATGAAGGTATGTTGACTTTTATCAAAGGCCTTTTCTGCATCTATTGAGATAATCATGTGGTTTTTGTCTTTGGTTCTGTTTATGTGATGGATTACATTTATTAATTTGCATATGTTGAACCAGACTTGCATCTCAGGATGAAGCCAACTTGATCATGGTAGATATGTTTTTTGATGTCCTGCTGGGTTCAGTTTGCCAATATTTTATTGAGGATTTTCACATCAATGCTCTTCAGGGATATTGGTCTGAAATTTTCTTCTTTTGTTGTGTCTCTGCCCGGATTTGGTATCAGGATGATGCTGGCTTCATAAAATGAGCTAGAAAGGAGTCCCTCATTTTCAATTCTTTGGAATAGTTTCAGAAGAAATGGTACCAACTCTTCTTTGTATCTCTTGTAGAATTCAGCTGTGGATCCATTTGGTCCTGGGCATTTTTTGGTTCATAGGCCATTAATTACTGCCTCAATTTCAGAACTTGCTACTGTACTATTCAGGGCTTCAGCTTCTTCCTAGTTTAGTCTTGGGAGGGTACCAGGAATTTTTCCATTTCTTCTAGATTTTCTAGTTTATTTGTGTAGAGGTTTTTATAGTATTCTCTGATGGTAGTTTGTATTTCTGTGGCGTCAGTGGTGATACTCCCTTTTTCATATTTTATTGTATCTATTTGAATCTTCTCTCTTTCCTTCTTTATTAGTCTAGCTAGTGGTCTATCTATTTTGTTAATTTTTTCAAAAAACCAGCTCCTGGTTTCATTGATTTTTTGGAGGGTTGTTTGAGTTTCTATGTCCATCAATTCTGCTCTGCTCTTCATTATTTCTTGTTTTCTGCTAGCTTTTGGATTAGTTTGCTTTTGCCTCTCTAGCTCTTTTAATTGTGATGTTAGGGTGTCGATTTGAGATCTTTGCAACTTTGTGATGTGTGCATTTAGTACTATAAATTTCCCTCTTAACACTGCTTTAGCTGTGTCACAGAGATTCTGGTACATTGTCTCTTTATTCTCATCGGTTTCCAAGAACTTCTTGATTTCTGCCTGAATTCCTTTATTTACCCAGGAGTCACTTGGAAGCAGGTTGTTCAATTTCCATGTAATTGTGTGGTTTTGAATGTGTTTCTTAATCCTGAGGTCTAATTTGATTGCATTGTGGTCTGAGAGACTGTTTGTTATGATTTTAGTTCTTTTGCATTTGCTGAGGAGTATTTTACTTCCAATTATGTGGTTGATTTTAGAACTAGTTCCATGTGGCACTGAGAAGAATGTATATTCTGTTGATTTGGGTTGGAGAATTCTGTAGATGTCTATTAGGTCCACTTGATACAGAGGTGAATTAAAGCCTTGAATATCCTTGCTAATTTTCTGTCTCATTGATCTCTCTAATATTGATAGTAGAGTGTTAAAGTCTCCCACTATTATTGTGTGAGAGTCTAAGTGTCTTTGTAGGTCTCTGATAACTTGTTTTATGAATCTGGGTGTTCCTGTATTGGGTGAATATATTTATTTGGAGGAGTTAGTTCTTGTTGAATTATTCCCTTTACCGTTATGTAAGGCCCTTCCTTCTTTGTCTCTTTTTTTTTTTTCTTTTTCTTTTTTTTTTTTTTATCTTGTTGGTTTAAAGTCTGTTTTTCAGAGACTAGGATTGTAACCCCTGCTTTTTTTGTTTGTTTGTTTGTTTTGTTTTGTTTTGTTTTCCATTTGCTGGGTAGATTTTCCTCCATCCCTTTACTTTGAACCTATGTGTGTCTTTGCACATGAAATGGATCTCCTGAATATAGCACATCAATGGGTCTTGATTTTTTACCCAATTTGCCAGTCTGTGTCTTTTAATTGGGGCATTTAGCCCATTTACATTTAAGGTTAGCATTCTTATGTGTGAATTTGATCCATCATCATGATGCTATCTGGTTATTTTGCACAACAGTTGATGCAGTTTCTTCATAGTGCCGTTGGTCTTTATATTTTGGTGTGTTTTTGCAGTGGCTGGTACTGGTTTTTCCTTTCCATATTTAGTGCTTCTTTCAGGAGCTTTTGCAAGGCAAGCCTAGTGGTAATAAAATCTCTCAGCATTTGCTTGCCTGGAAACGATTTTATATCTCCTTCGCTTATGAAGCTTAGTTTGACCGAATGTTAAATTCTGAGTTGAAAATTCTTTTATTTAAGAATGTTGAAATTGGCCCCCAATCTCCTCTGGCTTGCAGAGTTTCTGTGGAGAGGTCTGCTGTTAGTCTGATGGGCTTTGCTTTGTAGGTTACTTTGCCTTTCTCTCTGGCTGCCCTTAATATTTTTTCATTCATTTCGACCTTGGAGAATCTGATGATTATGTGTCTTGGAGTTGATCTTCTCATGAAATATCTTAGTGGTGTTCTCTGTATTTCCTGAATTTGCATGTTGGCCAGTCTTGCTAGGTTGAGGAAGTTCTCCTGGATAAAGGATAGGTAAATTCTATAGGTAATACAATGGATGTAGTACCAGAGGAAATTATCAGTTAAGATGCAATCATAACCACTCACCCCTAGTCGGAATGTAGATTTCACACAAATCCCACTGATGAAAAGAAATATATGTATATTTCAAATATTTAACCCTTTGTTATCTTTTCTTGCATAAAATTATCTGCAGAGCCATGAAAAACTGTTTGATATTTGTGACTAAGCAGACTGTTTGGGTGATTATGCTCTTGAGTATGAATGGTGAGTTGTTAAATGAAATACTCAATCATTGCTATGGAAGAAATTTGTTCTTACTAGCAACTTGAAGCTTAAAGAAACATTTATAGGAAAGAAAATTACTCAAAGCTTTAAATAAGGCTACTTTTAGAGTTGACCTTAGACTACCTAGAGGGCATGATGATTAATCTTTCGCAAATTATAGATTTTATTTGTTTATGTCCAGTGAGGTGACTTCTTGGTAGATGTCTTCATTGCAATTTTCAGCAGCTGTATTGATGACACTTGTTAATTGAAGTTGACGTGATTTGCTCTTGCTCTCTTGGAATGTCTTTATTTCTGTCCTAATATGCAAAGGCAGTTCCAGAATTTCTTAATAGGAGGGTCTCAAGTATAACAATCTGGTTGACAGGAAAAGCAATGGAATCTTCACTGCATTTGCATCACAAGCATACTGTTCTTTCCTACATGTGTTTTTTAGGGTGTCTTGGGACTTCGATCCTCTTTAAGTAGAAAAAAATGAAAATGAAATGCCATAGCCAATATTAGAGATATATTAATTTTAGTCTTTGTTGCTTTTATATTTTTCTAGGACAAAGAGATCTTCAAAAACCAAAAATGAGGTTCGCATTTACATGCCGGTGCTTCGCACTGTTTCTGCTTCTAAATGTAAGTAAAACAAAATTATTCAAAGCCATGCTAATGAAGAATGTTGAATAAGGAGGAATGTTCTGAGTGTGATTGAATAAGTATTTGCAAGGGTAGGCATTGGTCTCCAGAAGCCAAAACTAAGTTCCTCAAAAACATTATTTTGCTTAATATTTTGTTAACAAATCTCTCCTCTGAACGGTCTCTAATTTAAATTAGTGTTTATAGTCTACCCAGAAATTTGAGCTTTGTTTATAAGACTTTAGCATTAATTTGAGACATCTCCATATTATCTTAGAAATTAACCTAGATGGTAAATAATATTCTCAGGTAAAATGTTTTCATGTTGATAAAACTATGTTTTGAATCATAGTTCAAAACTATGATTTGAATGATAGTTTCTGGGCTGTTCAATCCTTTTAAAACATCTGGGCTGTTCAATCCTTTTAAAACATCTGAACTCTTTCAGTCTGGCATTTGATTTCAAATGTATTTTTCATCAAAAACTGACTACAGAATCTTCAAGTCTTTATATACCACTATTATTCTATAATTCTTTCTCCAACCTTTTAAATTATGTTTATGTAATTGTATTTTGTTTTATTCCTAAAAGATTTAGCAAGTAATCGGAAATACAATCATCTTAGAAAATACTATCAATGCCTATTATTTGTGTCAACATTGTTAACCCACCATCACATCAGCTTCAATAGCACATGAAAGGGAGATGAGTAAATTTTACATAAATCAATGTGGAGCTGCCTTGCTTCTTATCCTTTCTATCACATCAGAGTAACATTTGCTAATGAATTACAGCTGGCTACAAAGATCACTCAATATCTCATACTGTCATACTGACCCACAAAAAGCTTGCATAGGGTTCCAGGATTTCCATTGTTTATTAATGTGTAGTATAGGCCTACAAGTCTGTCTAAACTGTTTGTCTTTATATTATTCAAGAAAAAATATTACTACTATTTCATAAATGTTAATTTAGTTTGTAAGGCAATTTTTATTTTGTAATACTGTACATCAAATAAATGGTTTAGGGGAATGACTATTAATGCAACCCTTTTGCACCTATTTGGACAATGAGTATAACTTATTTTATTATCAGGTTGTCTTATCATTTTATCCTATTAAATATTTCTTTAGATAAATTACAGTATAGTTTTCTAAAAGTAATTAGCATTTGGAAATGCAGGTTTCTTTATGTCATTGGAAATATAATAAAAACACTAAACAACACTACTGTGGAAACTAATAGAATATTTTAATTTGTCTGTAAATATCCAGGCCTTATGTGGTCTTCTATGGATACAAAAATATTGCTATATATTATTGATACTGTTATTTTTCATAGCTCAAATGAAATCCTAAGTGATCTAGTATATGTGAATGTTTTTGAATAATCATGTTTCATAAATCAAATAATTATATTGAACATGACAGAAGAAAAACTAAAGAACTAAATACTAACAAAATTGTTTGAAGATTATCTAATTGCCTTTTTTATTACAAAGACTTTAGAAAATTTGTAGTGTGTTAAAAAAGTAAAGCAGGTCATTTTTATTCAAAACTTTTAGCTAATGTAGTCTATAATTTAAATATTGAAAAAAATGCACATCTTTGCATGAGCCATGGACAGAAACATTTTATGGCTTGTGGGCACCTCTTGACCAGCAAGCATAACTGAACAGGGCATTTAAATGGGTTTGTGCTCTCTTTGCTGTGACAGAGAGAAATTTGCTTCTCTCTCTGTATTTGGATTATATATTTGATTTGGAGGATTTGTCCATAAAACAAAATTTGATATGTCCATTTTCTTCAAAACATTTATTATGTGCACATTGACACTTCCCAGAGAAAAAAAAATTTAATGACAATGTTCCTAACTAATCCAAAATATTACTTTTTAGACAATAGATTGTTGTGAAAATACACTAACTATCAAACTCTATCGATTTGATTTCCATATAGTTTTTAAAGTATCAGTTTGAGTCACCACCTTCAACTAACCTCTTTCCATTAGCCATAACCACCCACTCAATTCCTCTCCCTCCTGTGAGGTATATAGTAAGCTTAGAACAGTGGTTGGTATACAGTGAACTCTCAGAAAAAGATGCTAGTGATGATGCGGATGACCACAATGCCAATGGCAATAATGAAGACATAAAAAATTAGGTTCTTCAGAGCAGGTGTTATTGTTATGTGTTTACTTAGCTATGTTCACCTATTTGCTTTGAATTTATGATATATGCAGTTTTGTTGTTTATATAATGTAAGTAGAATTACACAGTACACCAGCCAGGCGTCTGATCCTACCCAGGAAAACCAGGACTAACACTTTTACAACAGTGTGCTTTGTCCTTTCTTATTTTGAAACGTATAAGTAACTGAAAAGCAAAAATAATTACATACATTATCAACATTAAGGATGGTGACATGAAAATCCCATTGGTTACATCAGTTTGTAGATTCTAGGTTTATATTCTTTTTAGAGCAGTTATGCCTGTGGCAATCAACAGGAAGCTCTCCCTTCAGCACAGTAGCTTGGGTCCATACACTCAGTGGGCTTGAACTATTGCAGAGATGGACCATTTCTCAAGGTTCCATGAAGAACAGCTCTGTAACTGTCTCTCTACTACTAGAAACTGTAACCCAAAAGCAACCTGACTGTCCTACATCACAGTAGGAATTGCATAAGCATATGACCATTTCAAATCAGATAGCTTTCTTGTGGACTCCATGATTAGTGTGGATAAAATCTAGAATGTAAGCTCCATGAGAGCAGGTGACTTGCCAGTTTTGTTCACTGCTGAATTTGCAGAACCTAGAAGAGTGCCTGACATGTGAGAGGCACTCAAAGTATTTGTTGACTGAAAAAAACAATGATGCTTGGGCTGCTGACTACTGCTGTTGGTGGCAGCTTGGTGGTCGTATTTGTGGCGCCATTTACTTGAACCTTTAGGAGTGACATCACATATACGGCAGCTAAACTGTTACATGGGACAACAAGAGGTTTGTTTGTTTGTTTGTTGAAAAATAATGTAAGATGGTTTATATGCAAAACTTTGAAAACTGATGTTTTTTTTTCAGAAAAACAATATGCCCTTAATATTTCATTTATATCTGGATGTGATCATATAATCATATATTTATTTAACCCCCTGAAATAAGTAGTACAGACTTAACACTTATAATAAGTAGGATATTTTAAGTCTCTTACATTGCTTGGTAGTTTCATCCAATCATTACTGGTTTTATTTTGTCTCTGTATTGCTGAAAATAATACCACCTTCCCAGCAATTCTTATTTGTATAAAATTATCAGCAAAAGTTTAACATTTAATAAACTTCATGAAATTTGTATATGTGTTATTTTTAAGCTTATATGTATATGTATTATATATATATAATCATACATATGCATATATTTATATGTTTATATCTATCTATCTATCTATCTATCTATCTATCTATCTATCTATCCAGTCAGCCCTCTGTATCCATGAGTTGTACATCCATAGATTGAACCAATCTCAGATAGAAAATATTCAGGAAAAAAATGTATTGAAAACATACAGACTATTTTTCTTTTTATTGTTTCCTAAATAATACAGTATACCAACTATTTACATCACATTTATATTGTACTAGGTATAAATAATCTAGAGATGATTTAAATAATACAGGAGGATGTACATAGGTTATATGCAAATACTACACCATTTTATATGAAGGACCTAAGCATCCTCAGATTTTGGTGTCCACAGGAGGTCCTGCAACCAATCCCCTGAGTATACAAAGGGATGACTGTATACATAAACAGAATGTGCCAATGAGTATGTTATTTTAGGAAGAAGACCACTGAGACATTCATCTACTGCTGGGAAAATTCCATCTTCAGCGCTCAAATATGAACCAGACCAGGAACTGATGCCGATTATTACCGCTCATCTGACAACAGAGGTTCTAATTTTTCATTCCTTCAGTGTTGAAACAATCTCTACTGAACCAGCTTCAAACAAATTCACTGGAGTTTGTTTCAATATTGCAAGAATGATAAGATGGAAGCTACCTTCATCAGCATGAATTATAACTACTCATATACAGATTGTCATATTTCCACTGTTACTGATGTTAAAACTGCATTAAAGCAAATAAAAATGTAATTGAAAATACAAGCGTAGGGTTTTCTACTTGATATCCTTGGACATACTATTTGCCTATGGTTTCCATGAATTTCCAACTAAAGCAGGAAAATCTCTTACTTGGTTGTCAGCCATTTAAAAAGAGAATTCAGAATGTTACTTTTGGGAAGAAAGCCAGCTTTAAACAAAATAGTTCTTAGTGTTTAGCATATCTAATACAAGTGACAGATAAGATTTATATATGACATAATATTCCATCTTTGAATTCAATTTGAAGATGGTGAGAAAATGGTCCAGAAATTAATAATATATCAAATGATCATTCTCATATTAACTGAAGATTTCAGGGCCACAAAAGAAGAATCTAAAACACATGTATAAACTGAACCAATAATTAATATCTCTATTGTGAAGGCATCATGATCCATCCTTGCTTTGATGGTTACTGATATGTAATTTAATTTTTAAAACGTATATATTCATACAAATGTTCAGTAATAGACTAAAAAAGAAACCTCAACATAGAATCCCTTCAAATTACCTTTTTTAAAAAAAAAATTTTGCAAATCATGTTCCAATTCCATTAGGAATATCTAAGAATTTTATGACTGATGATTCTTTATTGTTCATAACTTAAGGTATCAGAAATGCATTTTATAGTGTTGGTCTGTCTTGCCAGACAGTAAGCTCTATGAGAGCATGATCCACACTTATTTTATTCAACACTGTATCCTCAGTATCTGGCACAATGTTGGGCTCATCAAGTTTGATCAATATTTGCTGACTGATCTGAAGGCCAGTGGGGAAAGTGCCATATATCAAAAGGAATTGTGTTCAGCTGCATTGGTAAAGGATTTGCACAGTTTTAATCATTTTTGTGGGTTCATTACTTTCTCTTGTGACATAAATTCAAGAGACATTAAAATTAGAAATAAACAAAATGTTTAAATAGTAGTGTCAACTTTATTCACAATTGGTGTCCATTTGAAGTTATCACATAATGTTATAATAATATTAAGTATTCACCATCTTCTCTTTGCAAGCTATTTCCACTGGGATGGCTTGCTACCATCTCCAAATCTAACCCAAAATAGGACTTACTTACTAAGGGGAAGAAGCCCCCCTAAAAATGTTTTTCTTTCCCAGCGTCTCCCCTTTCTTGGGAACTATATTTTTCCCCAAATATCTAGGCTAAATACCTGGACTATTTGACTATTACTGTTTCCCATTCCTTGTATTCAAATATGCCTTCATGTTTTTATTCTTGAGAAAGTGCTAAGAGTGGTACTTTCTTGTTCCAGCCAGGCCTTCAACTTCCTGCTGCCCCCACCCCATCCTGCACCTGTAACCTGTGGACATCTGATGCCTGCTGCATGAATTTTACTAAAAATTCTCCTTTCACAACCTTCACTGATCAAAAATCTATAAAACATCTTTATCATATTACATTATGTTATATACCATGTTTTAACAATATTAGCTAAAATGTTTTGAACCTTTCGTGTCCCTCACACTTTGTGTTTATTTTCTTGTTCATCCTCACAACATCATAGATGATAAATATTATTCTTTCTGCTCTTCTTATTTTACATTTCCTAGGTTGAGGAAACAGATCTAGTGAGAGGTTGCTAATCTGCTCAAAGTGACAAAACAAGTCTTAACTTTTTTTGCTATCTGAAGATTCAGATAATGCAGAGTCTTGAAAGCAAAGTCCTGACCTTCTTACCCTCAAATATACTCCCCTTCAGGCAAGATGATTTTCTCACAGTGGTTCATGCATGTCATTTCCAACCTCCTGACTTTTGTGGGAAAGGTCCCTCCATCCCAAAAAGCTTCTCAGCCCACCTTGTGCCTATGCAGAAACTACATACACTCAAGGTTCAATTCAAATTCTACCTTGTATCTGTAGCCATCCCGAATGTTTGTGCTCCCTACTCTCTCCAAACTCTGAATTTTGATTGGATTGTGTGCTGGACAGCTTAGCAGTTAGTGATGTGCTGTCATGTAGGACATACACACCGACATGCATGGAAAACAGTGAGGATTCACCATGAAGAGCCAGGAATATACATGTCAACTTAATAAGGATGAGTTTTGTTTAGAAACTAGCACATATAGAAGAGTACATAACACCACTTCTGCCATCAGTACAACTGGAGAAACTTCATTCTTACAACTGAAGTTTCAACAGGTATGATAGAAATTAAACAGCATTCCTAAATTCAGAAAAAGGAAAGTCAGTGCAGGCTGATGTTTTTAGGTTTCTCAAAAAAAAAAAAGAAAAAAGAAAAAAGAAAAAATCTCTATGTAGAACATGGATATTAAAAAGTCGCAGATTCCAACACCACTAAAAACATTGGTCATAGCCACAAAAGAAATTGAAATCTGTATAAACACAAGTTAGAAAGAGCAATGTGACAGAGTGATCTTTTCAAACACCCACATTACCTTTGAAAAAGAGAGACTTGTGATAGTGATGATTAACTGAAACTGAAAAAAAACTATTGTCAATCTGTACCAAAATGCAAATGTGCTGAGATAAATATCTAAGAAATACATCGATTTTTCATTAGTGAAAATAAATTGCCCTGTACAGGTCATCTGCTGTTGAAACCAATTTAAGGAAATTATGGTCAATTATGAGGAGCATAAAACATATTTTGTTTGTTCCATGGAATAGATGGGATAAATTTCTAGCAGTGTACACAGCACCAATAAAATTTAGCTGAAATAATCAAATAAAAAAGCTTATTTATTGAACTATGTCTATTTTTTAATAACATGATTCATGATTCTTTAGAGTAAGGCAAAGTTGATTTAATATTTTATTTTTTGGAAATTAGATTATTTGTTTTGTTTACTTCTAAACTTTAGAATCATAATACAGTTAAAACAATCCTAGCTGATAAAGAGGTGTATGAGTGTGTGTAGGTGTTATCCATTTTCAATAGTAAATGCAAATATAAAATGTGCAGGTAGAATTTGTAGATGAAATGTAAAAACATTTTTAGTTATATATAGGAAAAAAAATTGTACGTAGAGACCATGAATAAATATTGCTTAGAGAGCAAAAACAAATATTTTCAAATTTTTTCGCTGTCTCATTTGTTTGTGCTCACCCATTCCTCCTGTCTATAAGTAACTGATTTTTCTTTTTAATACAGCACCCAATCCCAATTCTTCCTGCCTTTTCAAATCAAACCTATCCAACAATAGAGCCCGAGCCATTTCTTTACATCGTAGGACGAAAGAAGATGATGGATGCACAGTACAAATGCTATGACCGGATGCAGCAGTTACCCCCATACCAAGGAGAAGGTAAAGAGAAGGATATATATGAACGTATGTTTGAAACAACATTAAAGACATTTTCTTTTGTGGTTAAATATGTGTTGAATAACTTTAATTTAATATGCCAGCAGTTTTCACACTGTGGTATGTTTGTGTATTTCACGCAGTGCATATGCCTAATTTCTTTGCCCAAGTTCATCTGACTGCAATTTGACTAACATCTGCCCTCATGATAAAATGACTGCAATAATTCCGTATTCACACCTGGCGAGCAGGAACAATACAGGACCGAGTGGGGAAGGGGATGTAGAAAATGACAGGAAAGGGATTTGGAAAATAATGGGCAGAGAATTTGACTGAGGTGGATGCTATCAAACCCTATCTTGCTTGGATTCAGTAGGTAGTATCTTCCCTTTAACTGTCAACTGGTTGGCAACCCATACTATTCTCCCACACTTTCTGGCCCCACTTTCCAGGAGAATTACAAGATGATACCTCCTAGCCAGACATTGCTTATCTACCAGCTTCTCCAGAATGGTTGTATGTGACTGCCCAGATATTTTCCGGTCTAAATATATTCTATTAGCTGTAGAGGATCCATAGAAAGCAAAAGGGGAGATGTGATGGGCAAGCTCATTGCAACATCCCTTTAAATTTTCCTATTTGTCCCCTGAGGCATTTGAAAAGATTTAATAAGATCTTTTACAATCTCATATATATTTGAGACAGGGTCTCCCTCTCTCACCCAGAACGATCCTCCCACTTTAGCCTCCTGAGCAATTGGGACTACAGGTGCATACCACCATGCCTGGCAAATTTTTGTATTTTTTTGTAGAGCATGTATTTTTTTTGTAGAGCATGTTGTCCATGCTGGTCTCCAACTCCTGGGCTCAAGAAAGCCTCCCAAAGTGCTAGGATTACAGGTGTGAGACACTGTGTCTGGTCTACTACCAGGTACATTTTAAGACAAGCCAACTTGGTAGGAAAAAAAATGGTTAAATATACTCTGTTACTGCACATTCTTTGCTTTCAAATAGTTCAAGTTTTAGTTTGTAGTTCTTATTTTTAGCATTTTCCTTTAAACAAAAACATCAAGTCAACTGAAAGGCAGATACATGTTATTCTTCTGTCTGCAGTAATTTCAGTGTTTATCAAGAACTGAACAGGCATTAGATATAACTCTGACCGAAGGAGAAACAATTTCATTGAAGCCAATGAGACAATAAAAACACAGTACTGATATTTTCGGGGGTTTTCTGAGAACTCTTTTCATTTTTTAAATAATTTTTGAGAGCTTTCTTGAAAGCCTGAATCTGATTCTTTTGAATACATACCTTTATAGACGTAAATCTTCATGGTTTTGGGTAGGTTTTTGTTTGTTTGTTTGTTTTGTTTTGTTTTGTTTTTGAGAGAGAGAGGGTCTTGCAGTCTTTGGGGCATTTGCTTTTTTGATAAGCTCAACTTTGGAACCTTTTACAAAGTAGAAATAGAGCCCTGCTTGTCATCCAATGAGATAATTTAGTCACACATATGCTAAGGCTATTTGAAACTGTATTTCCAAAATCAATGACTTTGGCTCGTTTGAAAAGTATGTGGTTATGACTGGTGTAGTGAGCCCAGCTACATGTAATACTGTCTTGAGATCAATCTTCTCATTTAGTTAAATCCACAAGGCTTCAATATTAATTTCCTTCTAAATGGCCAGGTCCATATTGCAATCGCACCTGGGATGGATGGCTGTGCTGGGATGACACACCGGCTGGAGTACTGTCCTATCAGTTCTGCCCAGATTATTTTCCAGATTTTGACCCATCAGGTAGAGTGCTTATTTTCATTTTATGCTCTTGCTATGAAGCTTTTAGAGTTTTCATGGTTTTGAGAAGAAAATCCGATACAAAATGTACCTACCTAATCATACTCCACATTTCAGCAGCTTCTGAAGCGTTTCCTTAATTGAAATACTGCTTAGTTGTACAAATATTACAAGCTATCCTTTTTTTAAGGCATATTGCTGGTCAGTTATATGTGTTGGTATTAAATTCTGGTTTATAAACATAGCTTTTCTAAAACTCTGTGAATAGTTTTATTTAAATGTGAGTTTTAACATTTTTCAATTGTCTCACTGAAAAGGGGGTAGAAATCTTAATTATGAAGCAGACCCAGATGCTGAAACTAAATGGATTAGCTATGGGCACAACATATAGGTTGTTAATGGGTGAAATTTGTTCCTGAGAGTAAAGTGAGCCTGAGCCTACAGAGGTTAAGTGGCTTTAGAATCCCAATTAAAGAAGAAAAATGAATCTACCCCTGAAACAATGTTTGAAAAATGCTTTTTGTGCTTCCTTCAAGAGTAAAAGATCTAATTTGTCCCTGAAAACAAAATTTCACCTCAGTAAGGCAGAGATAATGGAAGTGGGATTGCAGAGGACCTCTTTTAAAACCAGTGCAGGCTAGCCACTTCTGGGAATTCCCATTGTGATGGAAAAGTTGGGATGTGAAGAAAGAAAGGGCTTTGTGCTGTGCGCTAAATCGGCTACATTCCTGGAATCGCTAACTAAATGCTATTTGATGATAATCCTTCAGGACCTTATTGACTCTTCCCAATGAATGATGCTTCATTATCTTTATTTGACAACTACATTAGAAGTAACTTGATTGGCACAAAGAGCTGTTGTGCAGTTGAGGATACTAGGCCAGTTCCAAAGTAACAATGCGGCTCTTGCCAAAGTAGATATAAATATTGACTACAAGGCAAGATTTTGATCAACAAATCAGAGATTTCCAGGCATCGATCCATCTTTTCAGCCTGGTTCTTATACAGAAACCTCTCAGCTGCAGGACAAATTCACTTTAAAATGTGTCTGAAATATATACATGTATTCCAAACTTAAATTATAAATACACACACACACACACACAACACATTAATGAAATGCCAGAGGTTTCACTTTGGAAAAAGTCCTTGGTAAAAGACAGATAGTGAAAGAACTGTATTGAAATTCAAAAGAGGCTGACATTCTGAAGGAATATGCTGGAATGTAAAAAGCAAAATTTAACAAGAAAGCATTTACAGCCCCACACTTGAAGCCAAACAAACAACTTTAATGGCACAGAGCCAAGATGGTCCAAATATGGTTTGGGACAGTGATTCTCAACCCAGATACCCTTTCACAAAATGAAAAAAAAATGGTGAGCTTTTAAAAAATGCAGATGCCTGACCCTGTCCAGATCAATAGAATTTGAATCTCTAGGGACAGGACCTCAGAATCTTCAAGTAGTTCCCCCATGTGAATCTGGAGTAAGAGAAGCACATTGTACTTTTCACAGGTCAGTCCACACATAGAGTATTTTAGAGAGAAATATCAATCATCAAAGCACATGTGGAGAGTCTCCAGGCTGTGAGTGGACAAGCTGTGGGGAGTGAGTAATGGAGGATGTTTGGTTTGTAAAGGGAAGACCCAGAGTAAACATAATCCTTTCTTCAAATATTGAAAGACTCATCAGGTGAAGGAGAACAAATTCTTGATAGTTGTAACAGTTAAAACCAAGAAATGACTCGATCCAGACTTAAATTAAAACAAAACAAGAAATACCGTTTCCTATAGCCTCGTTCATGAGTGGAATGACCTTTAAGAGTAGCATCTCTCTGCACACAATATATTTTCCCATATCCGGCTACATAACTTCATTGAAACCAAATTATATTCATTTTATTTAAAAAAAACTACTTTCGGCAATCTGATAAATATAAAATGTGGCCACTTTTAAAAATCGCAAGTAAACTTGGAAGGGTTGGTCATTGACAAATAGCGTTAGCAAAATAATTGACAAATTTTCAACATCAATTTTTTGTGCTGATCAGTGCTAATCCTTTTTCACATGTTGTTAATGTCCAATAGAGATGCTTTAAATAGGGTTTGTCTGCTGGCTATCTCAGTAAATTTACAGTTTTAAGTTTTCTTATTTAACTTTGTAACGGATTTACATGAAGCAGTAATGATTCTAATAGGTTGCTTGAAAACATCTTTTGCTTGAAAAAATATTTTTTCATACATTTTAAATAAAAATTAAACATACAAATAACTCTATAACCTGCAGTTTAAATCTTGCATTTAGTAAAATAATACCTGTTTCAGTCATACAATAAAAAATGATGCATTACACCTAAAAACTGCCATGGAAAAAGGATTTTTGCACTAGTTCTTAGCATATTGAGTAACCAAACCTACTAGTAGAAAATTGTTTTAAATATTATCAGATCTCAGTGATTTTTCAGCCAAATAGGGTTCCCTTTTTTTCAGTATGTTTTTTCCTTAGCCTTTAAAACAATAGCAATATTCTTCAAATATTACCATATGATTCTGACTTCCACATCCTGTGCTAAAAAAGAAAATAACCATCTATAAAAGCATTATCTATAGGTACAGCAATGCTTTGCCTCTGTTAACATAGGAAAATGCTTCAAAAATATTTTCCCTGAGAAATTATCAAAGATTAAAATTTTGTGAAGATTCCAAATACACTTGCAAAATCTCCCGGCATATTATACCAATCTAGGCTTGCTATTTGATCTCTCAGACAATAAACACATCACATAGGTGCTTTGAAGAACTAGAGAATATCTGAATAATTGAGATTAAATTTGGCAAGTACATTCATTTTAATATTTGCTTGTTCATTATTTCTATGTTAATTAATTCAACCTGATTTTTTCTTTCAGTTGCTTGGCCAATTCAGAGGTTAGAATTTAAATATTATCTTGTAGCCAACAACATTATCTAAAATTCTTTAGGTCACTGGAATGGAATATAGATAACCTTGATCATTTATGAGATTTCACCTTCTAGAGTCCCAGTACCAAATTAAAATATTGTTGACCTGTATTATAATACAATCCAGCTAAATTCTAATTTTAGTTAAGTGCCACTTTAGTTGTTTGCTAACAATATACTAGTTTCACAGTGTGTTTATCCTGCTGATAATGTCTTGATAAATATTATCTCACCATTCTGACCACTCTTTACTCCCAATATATATTGTGATTTCCCAGCCTCATGCACTTAACCCAGAGTCTCAGATATATACTCAGTTAATAATTTAAGCAACATACAGAACAAAGAAGTTTTCTTATTTATTTCTAAGATAGAGCACTTGATATAGGGTCTGGTAATGGTAAGTTATCAAATATTATTTTAAAAAATTATGAAAATTGCTATCATGGCCTAATATTTTAGTATGAATTTCAGCAAAGATATTATGAGTCATCCCCATGGGAACTTATCATTTCTATCAAATTTGGAACTTTACTTTGTACTGATACATATACACTGGCTAAAAAATTAAAATTCAAAAAGCACCAAGGCTTTATCATATTGTAACCAGCACTGAATATATCACACAAAAATAATTGAAAAAATAATAAGCCTGATGGGAACCAGCAGACACCACAAAGCAAGCACTTGGAAGGTTCTTTCTCAGGGCCCAAACAAAATCTTCTTGTCCTTTTCCTCCAAAATATTTTAGTGTAAGCGGAACTCTTAACCTCAGTGAGCAACCCCAGAATCATTGACCTGCTGGTTGGAGGGACAGTAAGATGCCAGGCTTTCCTCCTCTTTGCTAAGCATCAATTTAAAAAAAAAAAAGTGGGGGGCCAAACCAGTGTTATCTTTTATTTCTATGCCAAATCCAATTTCCAGGTGCCATTTACATCGTCTTATTTTCTCACCTACATCTGCATCTTAACAATAAGGGCTTGCCTGTTTTGTTTCCTCTGATCAGTTGGCACATTGCCACAGAAATAAGTGGCTTAATTAGTGCTTAATAGCTCTGCAATAGATTTGGAATGAAGTAGACTCGGATTTGATGCCTGACCTTACTAGATGCTAGTTATGGAAGGGAAATTTATTTATATATAAAATAGGGAGAACAATATTCACTTCAAAGACTCATTATTAACGTTAAAGAAGATAATTCTACAAAGCGCTGAGCGGTGCCTGGCCCCCACATAGCGAAGGTGGAGATCTTTAATATGTCAGTCCAGCTGAGTTAGGAATTTCATTAACTAGCATCTATGAGATACTTTAAAAAGTAAACAGTAAAGGCTAAAGCCTGGATCCCTATATATTTTCTGTGGGGTGAAGAGAGATGATTCAAATGAAATCTCTTGAGAGGCAGAAAAATGACCTCTTGATATATCCCTTAGTTTTGGACTTCTTTGTTCTATTGGATTTAACCATATGGGACTGGGAAGATTTGACCATTTGATCCAAAAATTACTGTTTCATACAGTTAATCTAATGAAAAAACATTGCAAGTAAATAAAGAAAGGTATGTTCTTGTTCTTCTCCAATAGTTTCCATCTACAATCAAAAGTTTAATGTCTGTTAAAAAATTACGAGGGAGAGGATAGGTAGCACTTTGGAGTCTGACCCATATCCATGTCTTTGGGTCTAAGTCCTGGTTCAGTCTCAGTGGCTTTTCAAGCCCATGACTCCTCTCACTGTCGGCTTTGAATTTGTAAAATGAAGATGACAATGCCTACTTCACATGGCTTTGCTAAAGTTAAAACGAGACAATGCATATTAATACACTTTGTATAATACATGATTTGTGATAGTCTCTATTGACATATTCACATTCAAGTTCTATAAAGTGATTAATATGTTGGAATGGCTTTTAAGCTTTAATTTATTATTTTTCCTTCTTGGGATTTTGAGATATTTGTGTAATAATTGTTATGTTTCATTAACAGAAAAGGTTACAAAATATTGTGATGAAAACGGCGTTTGGTTTAAACATCCTGAAAACAATCGAACCTGGTCCAACTATACTATGTGCAATGCTTTCACTCCTGAGAAGCTGAAGGTAGGGTCTTTTTCACATTTCAGTATTGAGTGAGAATGTCATTATTTGTACAAGGAAATGGACATATAACTGTAAAATATCTGCTACCGAGAAACCAACAGATTTTGTGGAAAGAAATCATATGATAACTGGTAAGTTCTAGGAATCTCTAGAGCAGCATTAGAGAAAATGACATTTCACTTCTTGGTTGGCACTCAGAGTCAAGAGTCAATTGAAGTTCCATGAGCATACAGAATCAGTCCATTTATGGCAGGGGGATAAGTGTCCATAGAGCAGATGAACGGATTCCCAATGATGCCAAAATTAGGCAACATTTCAAGGGACTCTCTAACATCTCACTTTTCCTGGAAGAGTTTCAGAACTACAGATTTTTCCACAAGTCACAAGATAGCATGCTTTCCCTGTGTTGGCCATGACCTTAGTTTTACAATAAGGCACAGAAAGAACTCCTAAAGTGGGGCATCTCATCAGTCCGCTAATACGGGTATGGCTGCTTAGATTATTTTCATTGGAAGTTCATTCTTATTTGTTAGTATTTGCATTTTACTGTCTGTTAAATATTTTGAATATTATCTCTGCTTAGAAATATTCATCTAAGCAAATGGTGGGGGAACAGATGCTCTTTCTTCCTCAGATGCATCAAAAATCTGAAAAGTTCATTAAGCCTACAACCAGCCTCCTCACCACACAGAACTGGGAGTTACAGTTGGTCAATGTTTAGCTGTGCAGGGCGTCTCTAAGCAACCCTGCTAACTCTAACATAAACCTATCATTTCTGTCAAAGATAGGCCTGAATACTAAATAATTATTCAGTTGAAAGCTAAAAGCACACTAATGCCGTTGTTTGTTGTTGAGATGCTTTCAGGGTGTAGAAAAGTTTTCTTTTATTAAAAACAAAACAAATAACAACAACAAACAAGATGAACATATAGCTTAGAGACCAATTGAATAGGAGGGACACCTCATCACAAGCACAGGCTAAGGCACCACGGTCAGTTGTCTCTTTACAAATGGTTTAGTCACCCTGAGAATCAGATGCATGTCTACACCCTAATAGAGAGCTGTTAATAAAGTCTGATTAATAAGCTATGTCACGGAGTAGTGAATTTTCTGAATGAGTGCTGATTATGATGCTACAGAAACAAATTTTACTGACGTTAACTGGATTGTTGTAAGTGTGCAAGTCCAAATCATTCTTAGTGTTGTCTTTGGACTTCTCACGTACACTGGCCACATCTGAAAAGGAAATAATTTAAAGAAGAAATGCTCCTCTCTAGGCACCTAGTATAATGATTAAAATGCTTTCCACAAATCTTCCATATAAATATCGTCACATTAAAATTTGAAGGAACCAACCTAGAATTCATTTAAAAAAAAAAAAAAACTCAACCTTGAGAATGACACAAGGATGGCAACTAAATTATGAGTTGTTGATTTAATCTTACGTATTTAGACAACTCTATTTCAGAAGAACAAATGTTTTTAAAAGGAGTATTCTGGAAGCAACTGAAAAGAATATGAATTAAGTTATATAAATTTTTCTTAGAAATAAAGTATGCAAAGATTTCTTAAAAGACTGACAGAAGAGGAGGTGCAGATATATATCCAAATTAATTAAGGGGCAAGAGTGTTCTACGTAGTAAACTATTTAGAAGGAAAAACTTTTAGAAAATGCCTCTCCTGATACTGTCTACAAGTGAAGTTAGAAAAATAGCTAGAAAATGAATTCCTGGGAGAAAAGATAGGAGGTGAATGTTTGTGTGTGTGTGTGTGTGTGTGTGTGTAAGATTCCTAAATCCCTCCCAAGAAAGCTATCTGAAGATTTTATCAGCTCCAATTATAAACCTACTATTCTAACTTTATTAACATTTCCTGTAAGAGTAAAATGTGCTATTAAGAGAGTGGTATCAACAATGAAAATGCCCCAAAAATATGGAATGCCTAGTCAAATGATGCAACAGGCACAACTTAGGAGAAGCTAATTAGTCCATTTTGAAATTCTAAGGTCTAGAAAAGGAATGTTCATTTCAGGACAGCAATAATGCACATAACCAAGAAAGGGCTCTGAACAGTTTGGGTGCATTTTAGCTGAATTAGTGCTTCAATCCCAGACTCTTCCTGAGGAAATTGACAAAAATCAAAATGTTCAAGGCTATATAAATCCCACATTTATTCCAGGAAATCAAAGAACTTCATAGAGGTTATTCATTCTATCTACACTACATTTGCATTCATACCAAGACCCAACAAACTGTAGAAGGAACTTAAAACCAAAAGTCAAGAGATTAAGGTACAACTACAAAATAATATACAAATTATGCTCCACCAAGAAAAACAAGTGAAAACAAAATCCCTAGTTACAATAGATTCAAGTCTACTTCAATTACAGTTGATGAAACTGGCTGAATAGTACAAAATGCAAAAGCTAGTGTCAAAATAGAGTGAATGAGAGAGAGAGAGACCAGAAACATAGAAACAGACAAAGAGAAACAGAGAGACAGAGAAGACAGAGAGAGAATGGGTGACTAGATCAATTGCTGTTTTCTCTGTGATAAAATTATATTATAAGGAAAGGAAAGATTGCGATGACTAGGAAAAAAAAGATGCTATGACATTATGCATTTCATGAGAGGGACATTCTTCCAAGTCAACATAACATTATGGGAGAATAAATAAAATTAACCATGATTATGAAAAAAACAATTATCAAATGGCTGCCAAGGGGAAAGTTTGCAGCTTCAACCAACTAAATACTAATGATATCATTTTAAACAAAGGCATAGCAACCCGCCACCATACTCTCCTCACCCTCTGTATATGCTGAGAGTCAGGACAGCTTGGAAAGTTGATTGCTATTTTGCCAGGTCTGTGGTATAGAATTACGTATCCACTGTCTAAAAGATTCCAGAAGTTTAAAACTACTGGGATTGCTTACTGGGCTTAGGGATGATAATTTTTAATGAATTTAAAGCTACTTCTGAAATATATTTTTTGAATGAGGAACTTCATCTCAAGGAACTTTATTCTTTGAAATTGACAATTTATTTTCATACCATGAGTAAAGATAAAAAAATAATTTCATTGTCTGAAATATTTGTTATAATTGTAGCAGTTTTTTAAAAGGAGGAAAACATTTGTTGATTTACATATATTTAGAAAAAGGAATGATTTTCTCTCCGATGAATCATTCATTCATTTTGTGTTTGTTTGTTTTTACTTTTTGTTGTTCCAGAATGCGTATGTTCTGTACTATTTGGCTATCGTGGGTCATTCTTTGTCAATTTTCACCTTAGTGATTTCCCTGGGGATTTTCGTGTTTTTCAAGTAAGTACACTTACAGCATCTGCTCTTTATTTCCTCCTTTAAGTTATTGAAATAAATGGTGAATTCTGCAAGAGTGGAGGTGTGGAAGGGTCTTCAGCAAATTACAAGCGACATGCAATGTTAGGAGTCATGAAGTAGCAAGAAAAATGAAATTAATTTAAATATGCTTTTAATCCTATCTTTGGGGAGAAGGGGATAAATTTATATTATTTTCAAAAGCACTATGACTTGAGGCTTCCTAAAGTAAGACAGTCCTGTGAGCCCATAAGTACACTGTTGTAACGTGATAAAGGTTCCATTTACCATGGGTAAGTTACCATTAAGGGTAAAGGAGAGGATTCTCCACCTTCTTTTACTCCCACTCTAATTTTCGGCGACCATAGCCACAAATCCACATATACCCTGCCTAATTATTTCTTGCTAGCATATGTAAGACTAAGGAATAAACAAGCACATCAGAGCATGTTTCTACAAAACCTAATTTAATATGCTTGTCTTTAGGTTTTATGGTGCACAATTATGCTAGAAAGCAAAATATGAGAAAACACACAAGGAAAACTTGAATACTTTAAATTATCTTGTCAACTTACATGAATATAAAATAGGATCTTTACAGGTAATGGTACATTTAAGTTAGAAACTGTTATGTATGCTTTCATCACAACAAACTTTAGTGAAAATAAAGCACTCATAACATTGTCCTAGGCTGGCTTTCTGAAGTATATTCTCAAATGTAGATTCAGAGTAAGCCACATGTGTATTTTTCTCTAGACACACCACGGTTCAGTAAATATGTTCGAAACTGAAGTAAATTAGATAAAAATGAAATAATATATGTAAGGTGTCTGGATTCATGTCTGACACATAAGTGAAATATGTGTTTGATATCGTTATTATTATTATTGGTCATAATAGTCATGGTGGTATCATAGAAATCATAAAGAAGAGCCCTTTTGCAGACTCAGATGACAATCATCCACACTTTAAAAATGTGGTATGTGATTAAATGTACAGTGATTCACATATAGAATGAGGGGGGAGAAGAATATATATGTATTTATCACCCCTGAACTATATACTTAAAATGGCAAAGATGGTAAATTATACATCTATACTTTACCTCAAAAATAAATTTAAAACATAGAACAATAGAATCTTGATTTGATTTTTGTTAAAACATTGTCAGGATAGTACTAAGGAAAATTAAACCAAGGGGAAAATAATCACCTGTAAATACATCCTTAGTACAATTACTATTTTTTCCTTCATCATTTTTCAATCTTTGTCTGTATCTTAGTCAAGATTCTTATATTGACTAAGCAATAGAAGTGAATAGCAATTTTTAACTGGATAGCAAATGATAACATAAGCAAACAGACAATGAGCTCCTTCCATAAATGGTTTAACAGGAGAAAGACTGATAAACAAAGCAAAATGACATGAATTATTAATTACTCAAATTAGAATGGAAGAATATTTTCGATGATCAGAATACAGTATTCACACAACGTGATTAATCTTGGAATGTCTTCATTTTTCAATTGCACTTCATTATGGCAAATAAACATATCATCATGGTTCTCAAACAAATTTTATTTTAAAATATGCCACTAAAGCATATTTTTTAAGTTTTTTAAATATAATCATAAAAAAATTGAAAGAAAAATTTCCCAAATTTGTAATCATGCAACTAATTGTAGTTAGGACTTTAAAGGTAATAATGTCAAAGGCATTATAGATCTTAATTCCTTTTTTCTCCAGTAACTTAAATAAGTGAGGAGACGTGAAAGCCAAATCAGCAAATAAATTAAGAATTTTTTTTCAATGATCATTTCTATATTAAGCTACTGGAGATGAGTATGTTAAAGTGCAGCACATGGGCAAAGTAGAATATTTCTCAACTCCAGTTAGTCCCAAAGCAAAATGATGCTGATCAAACCCTTGCGAGAGTGTGAGGACAGATTGTCTAGAAAGCACCCAACTTTGCCCTACTGTCTCTCAGTTCTAAGAACCAACTAAACAGCAACTTAAATCTGAGGAAGAAAAACAAGTCTTATTGATGTATCATCTGAGCCTAATAATGAGAAGAAATGAACTGAAATAGCTAGTTCTTCAGAGCAGACACAACAAGAAACAAATGACATACCAAAAGCACATATGTTGAGATGCCAAATATTCAAACCAAAAAAAGCTATATAAAATTTTTATACTTGTTTTCAACCATATCTTAAACCTTACCCAAACTAAAAATATAAAGGACTTCTGTTTTCTTAAAATTTAAGTTCGATCCTGACCCTTTAATATTTTTTATATTTGAATTTCAGAAACATTAAAAGTGATTGTGGAAGTGAAAATAATACTGATATATCACTGGAATTTATTTGTGGATTAGCAAACTTTTTCCAGAATTTATTTTCAAATACTCTACATCATCTTTAAGATCTTCACTGCACATTACAATAGAAAGTTTCATAATTTATGCACTTAAATGGCATCATCTGTGTGCAACCTGAGCAAAAAATATCATCACTCCCTTGCTTAATTCTATATTCCCAGGGTTGAGTAATTTTGCAGACTCCAAACAGTTTTATAAAACTTTCAGGAAACCAGAGTGAAAAGTTACCCAGCTCCAATTCTGAGAGCTGATGCCCCATTCATAATCATTCCATTGAAATCTCACTGTAAAGCCCTCAGAACTCCTCAAATGCACCTTATGAAAAGGAGGAACCCTGCAGCTGTCCTCCTCAAATGAGCAGGCCTAGGAGGCCTGCAGAGAAATTTAAAGTCGCTGACCATACAAGAGGCTTTGGAACTGCCAATACCTCACTAAAATCTTGGGATATTACTCAGAATTAGTTTATTAAAGTATGCCTTTAATCTGAATGTAATTTTATTCTGAGCATGCAGGGGAAGGTAAAAGGCAGAACTACGTAAACTTAAAGCAAATAGAAATCATGCTCCTTGTGCTGTTGGAAAATTAATGTATAAATGTATATAAAGCCTTCATTTTAATAGAAGAAAATTGATCTTTTATACCTTCTTCCTAGAGAAAGAGAAAATGTAGAAAAAAACGGTTTCTCGGGTTTAATTCATAGAAAAGTCAGCATTAAAAATCTTAACTGTTCAAAGGTTTAAATAATATTCAAGATGATATGCAGGTCATTTCTGGTACACCAGTTAAAGATAGAAGACAGGATTATTAGGATGGTATTTAGTTTAAAATCTTCACAGAAAAAAATTGGAATGATAATATGGAAAGGGATTAAATATAAACATCCAATTAGTTCAGCAAGATCTCTTACTGCTGGATTCCAATAGTAAGTGTCAACAAGAGAGCTAAAATGAAGATGCCCTTAGGGAAGACTGGTTTGGGAAAGACACATAAATGGACATTTATTTGAGATTGGTTCTTGACCATTTTCAGCAAATTTCCAATAAATTCACTTATCTATAAATTTCAATTACAATTTATCAATTTGCTTTTCTGTGGAATAATCCTAAATATGTAAGCCTCTCATTGTATTACCTCATGAAAAGCATAACAGGCCATTCATTAGCATTTATTTTGACTGATTGTTATCCATGTCTTTCTGATTGGTATTTTAAATATTATTCTTGCCTGAAAGTTGATAGAAATATAGGTTGGAAAACAGGCAGTCTCTTCATTTTATTGTCTACATGACATTACATTGGCCACATTAACCAAAAGCATATATAGGTAATCATGGAGGTCAACAAAAGTGGCTTCCAGTGGGACATACTGAGGGAAGACTGATTCCTCTGCTACTTACTATTCCCTTTGTTCTATGTCACCTCTACATATTGGGTGAGTATATGAATCTTTATCTTGTGTAGTATTCACCATTATACATCTCTGGCAGCCTTCCTGTTGCTCCAAGGAAACCATGAAATCTATGGTATCAAAGATGGCCTCCTTTCTTCCAACTCACCACTGGCAGGACAGACAACAAAGATAACTGTTGATCATACCACGGCATATTCTTCACCCATAGAATAGTGGTAATAGGAAAAGCAAGAATTTTGATTGAAATAATTTATTAACGATAAGGATTTTGTGCTAAATCAAAAAGCATAAAGTCTCTTGTCAAATAGTGAAGATATATAATATATTGTATTTGAATTTTCCCAGGAGTTTTAATGCAATCCACTTCACTTCATTTTCTCTTTTCTTTTCAGTTCTCATGTTATCATGAATAACATATGATCCTTAGGTAAATGAAAATGAAAAGTTACACTAGAAGATATGACTTTGGCTTGTACCAGTTACAGAAATTATCCCTAATTCATATTTTCCCATGCACCAGGAACTTCACAACAACTTTTACTTGTTTTTTTTTTTTTTGCTACTTTCTTCGTTTGCTTTGAATGTGACTATAATCACACGGTCTTATATATGAGATATATAAGAGAAAATACTGCTGTTCCTCACACTGTGATAGCAAACTCATTTACACAATCGGCAAAACTCAAGACCAATATCAAATGCCATCTCATACAACTACAAGCTCCCAAAAAGTACACACTCACACACACGGGGTACTAATAGCTTGAAACAAATGTGAAAGATTTACACCAGATAAACTATAACTATGCAAATGACTTTTTGCTTTAGCCTTAAAATGTGACATCTTGAGATTCATACTCAAGTAAATCATTATCTCTTCCTCACATTTGAATGACACCTTGATTGGTAGATTATGTTGTAGAAGTAGATTATGTTGTCTCAACCTCCTACTACTGGAGAATTTGTGGTACTTATGGTTTCCCGTCACTCAAATAATAAGCAATGTTCTGTCCATCTAAATGTCTGGATTTTTTTAATCAAGGGAATAGAATATAGTAAGTGTCAAGTTGGTGCTATTTCTACCTAAGACATCTCAGATCTGACAAAAAAATGTTGTCAGCTTCTCTCATCTTCATTTAAGTGACATATTTGTACTGAGGATTTTTAATGTTAAGTTTAATTAATTCTCTCTAGCATCCCACCCCTCTTCTTCAGAACAATTATCACAATAAAAGTAAATAAAAAATGGCATAGTATATAAGGGCCCTAAAGGCAAGAGTGCCTGTTTGTCCTCCATTATATTCCTGATATCTACCAGGTCTGGATCATAATGAGTGCACAATCATATATTTTGGATTATTGAATGAATTTTGAAAAATTTGCAGTACCTTCGACTCACTTCAAAAAGATGACTGTAAATGTTTTCAAGTTAGTATCATAAAAATTTTAAAACTCCATGAGCAAAAATTATATTAAAACTTTCAAAAAACAGAAACTCAAGTATTAGTCATACTTCTCCTTTGGAGACTAGCAGTTTATCTAGTTTTAAACTATCATTTTCTCTGTGTTTCCAATGAAAAAAAATGTATGTTTTTATATAGAGAGATACAGTACTCTTTATATATACTGTACCTATCTATATACAATATACTGTTTGTATGTATATATGCTATATGATATATTTATTTTTAACTAGTGTTGAACAACAGGATAATGTTCCATATTAGCTAGTTAATATGAAACTGAAGAATCTGGCAAATATTCAGTATGGTATGAAGTATAAAGTAGGAAATCATCTAACATTTAATGGAATTCATTGGTGTACTAGAAAATTGCTTAGTGGTCACAGCTCAAAACAGAACATATTTCTTAAATATATTTTTAAATTTTAAAAAAATGAAGCTTAAGCCCAGTGATGTGTCAGACAGTGTTCTAGGTGTATAAAATAAATTCCTTTAGCACTTTCATTTTAGTGGGAGGAAAGGAGAGAATAACAGGCAATAAATAAACATATACTGCGTCAGGAGGTGATAAGTGTTAAGAAGAAATGTAAAGCAGGCACACAAGAGAGTAAGCTGGAGGTGGAGGAAGTATATTTTATTCAGGGTGGCTTGAGTTTATACAGGAGAATGAAGTTAATGAAGTCATTTAAGGTAATGTACAACAGCTGATTATTGAGCTCTCCCCAGTCAAAAGAAAACCAGGTGTAAGAATATCATCGCTGTATGATACATTCGTTCATACTCCTTAGTTCTAGATAATGTCAATTATCATTGGCCTAAGCCAGGCTGAATTAAACAATGAATTCCATAATTAACCGCCAGTGAGAATTATAAATTGCTCTTGTGACTATGAAAGATGGCAGGTCACAGATTCGACTGTGCTGATTGCAGCAGTCACAAGATGGAAGTTTATGCAGTATAAACGATCATGAGGTTTCACATAAGTGATATTTTTGTTTAAATTTAATTTTGCAACCTACTTTTAGTGCTTTATAAAACCAGTTGGGTTTGATTTATTTAACAGACTTCCATACTGCTGAATAGAGTAGTCCATAGAAGTGTGTGTGTAAGAGAATGCTCTTTCCTAAATCCTGTCTTTATCAGAGCCTGCCTCATGGATGTAAATTCTACATCCTATCCCTGTTCAACAAGTTAAATTTTTTAAAATATTATTTATTAATGAGTTATTGTTTATCCTTCCCAAAAAGTTGAAAACTGTAGCTATAATAGTTAAAATATGCTCTAACAGCTGCCTTTATTACTTAAATTTGCTTTTTGCTACGGATAATTGACAACTATTTTTCCTTTGAATTGGAAATATAGGAAGGCATTGTAAGTAAACCCAGACCATTTTTGTATTTCATTTTTCCTCAGAATTTTCTTTTCAAAATTCTTCATTTCTAACTTTATTCCATAAAGATATTTTTAGGAATAGTTAGTGTTATGAGTCATTGGCATCATTAACTGCATGTTTTAAGCTTTCACATGGCAAATGATGTTATGCTAATATTTTTTGCCTTATCAAATATGATAAATATAAGATTTTCATTTGTCTAGGATAATCACTGCAATTCTGTTATAGTCATGATGTAGGCTCTCTTCATTACATCAAAAAAAAAATGAAAATAGGGTATTCAAATTAATGTTTGTTTATGTGAACATTCACACCAACACATATGTACAAGTTTATGAACTGGAGGAGAAAAGAATAAAAGCCCAACAAATGGCTTAATACCCAAAAGGTGGGGAATGACTCTGCCAAGAAACAGCAGCACTTAGACAGCTTTCATTGGATCCAAATCACAATATGCCTCATAATGACATTTCATTTGCACCTATTAAGAATTCTCTGCCTGTGTCTGAGCTCCACCATCAGGAGGGTTGGAAAAGAGGAACTACAGTGATGATTCTAGTCGGAATATAAGATATAAGAAGATAGCAACAGAAATAATGGAAGAGGAGGATGCCAGGAGATGTGAAGTGTGTGTATGCAGTGACTCAAGGACATAGATTCGGTACCTTGTCACAGGCAGCCTTGGTTCTGACTTCATGCTCTGTGACCCCACTGGCCACATATTTTCTTCCTGGTTGCAACAATGAATAGTAGGCTTTTCATTTGAAGCACACTGCAAACCCTAATAGTTTCTAATCTAAGAGTCCTTCTGTTAACTAATTTTACAGCATTTGTTATAATTAAAAGAGATTTTATCACTCATTCTTTCAGTTATTGTATGAAGTCACTCTGAGGACTGAAAACTATGAGCTGCTATGATTGAAAACATCTTTTTAAAAATCAGGCAGAAAAGTAGTAATACATCTGAAAAAGGAGACCAGCCTTACTTTTTTCTCTATGCTCTTTCATCTTTTTTTTAAAGAAAATATGAAAAATATTACCAAAATGTTTTTTTCCCAGGTACTCTAACATTTTGGCACTGGTCAATGCTTTATGTTACTTTTTCTTCCAGGAGCCTTGGCTGCCAAAGGGTAACCCTGCACAAGAACATGTTTCTTACTTACATTCTGAATTCTATGATTATCATCATCCACCTGGTTGAAGTAGTACCCAATGGAGAGCTCGTGCGAAGGGACCCGGTAAGTACTGCATAGTTTTGTTTTTACTTTTATTTTAAAGGATATAGTACCTGTAAATAGTGAATGCGGTGTTCATGTTGGACTTAAGCAGTTGTGTACATATGTAATCATATTTGCTTCCACAGTTGAGTTTTGCATTTTGTGAGGCATGTCATTTCTATGTAGTTTCTGGAAGAAATTATTACAAGCTATACTAAAGAACTGAAAATAACTGAATCATAAGCAGATAAGAATCATACAACAAACCATAAATTTTTTTTTTTTTTTTTTTTTTTTTTTTTTAGACAGAGTCTCACTCTGTCACCTAGGCTGGAGTGCAGTGGTGGGATCTTGGCTCACTGCAAACTCTGCCTCCCAGGTTCAAGCAATTCTTCTGCCTCAGCCTCCTGAGTGGCTGGGATTACAGGCATGCGACACCATGCCGGCTAATTTTTTTGTATTTTTAGTAGAGACGGGGTTTCACCATATTGGCCAGGCTGGTCTTGAACTCCTGACCTCGTGATCTTCCCGCCTTGGCCTCCCAAAGTGCTGGGATTACAGGCATGAGCCACTGCACCCAGCCCAAACCATGCATTTCTAAGACTGACCAATAATTTATTAATATCTATGACAAATATATTGAGCACGTCTTGTGAACATAGATGATACTAGGTACACTCAGGCAGTGCTTCCCAGTCATCCTAGTGTGCCACAAGTGATTACAGGTTTGCCTAGATATTGATCCCCTCTTCATTCTCATGCTAAGCTGGGCTTGGCCCAGTCATCTCCACTATGAGTAGCTATTCCCTTATGCTAATGAACCATACAAATATGATCACGTTTTGTGTCATTATGCTCTGAAAAAGGTTTATAATGACACAAGAAATCCAAAAGTTAGGGCAATAGGACATAACATCTCTGAAACTCATGCCCACATGCACAATTGCAACAAGCAAATATGGTGACTGTCCTCTTTCTATTTGAGTACTACAGAGAACAGGAGAGCTGAAATCATTTAGCTCCATTACTCAGAACCATTCTGGATTTCTTCTACCAGAATTGTCCTGAGAGTTGTTCAGAATAACTGGTATTTGTCATCAGTCTTCTCTCTTTATACCCAAGATAGTGTTTTTCACAGTGATTTCCAATCCTGGCTGCACTTCAGAATCAATGGGGGAGATTTCGTAAATATGAAATAGCTACTGTCCCCGTGATACTAGAGAGTCAGTAGGTATGAGGTGGAGCCGAGGAATATACCCTGGATATTTCTTCTGTGCTGCCAAGTTGGGAAATCATCAGCTAACTACTGAATGAAGCAAATAAACTGTCAGGGAAGGACAGAGGAGGAGCACCTTGAGGCTCTGCTTTTTCACTGATATCAGTCCCTGGTATTACAAATTAACAAAAACCAGAACTAAAAGGGATTTTGGAGGTTGTTTATCCCTGACTCCTCATTTTACAGATCAGAAACTTGATGACAAAAAGGCAAAGCGATTTTCCTCAAATCATATAACTGATTGGAGTGGGGAGCGGGCACTCAAATTAAGGTCTCCTTACTCTCAGTTTTTGTTCTTTCCTTTGCATCATCAGATGTATCTCTGTAAATCAGTGAGGGCTTATTTATACCAAACTGCTTGATTAGGTTTCCAAATATACCAGATTAATTTTTAAAAAATCAAATCACTTTGGTGCTGTGATACCAAGTAACCATTTACTTTACAGAAATTTTTGTTTATCAATCCAGTGTTTAAATAATTTACAATTACAGCTTCTATTATTTAATAGCTATTTTGCCCTCAGTAAATATTTTCATCCCAAAAAATCTCCAAGTGCTTCTCTGCTGTCTCCTTTGCAAACCTGCTTTCCTTAATTTTAACAACAAATATTTTCCTTACTTGTTAATGAACTGCACTTTAATTGAATGATTCAAAACAGTTTAATGATGTAACTGTTTATTAGATTGAGTATGAAATTACCAATATTTGATAATTTTTGTTCTGCAAAATTGATGAATCCATATGTTTTATCCTAATGCAAATGGGGAGACAATACGCTGGAATCTAGTGACAGTGGGGACTATTACCACCCCAGGCCCGAATGGACAAATGGAGGGAAAGGTATATGAACCTGAAGATAGAAAGGTGGTGTGGTAAAGGAGGCCCTACAGAAACTGAGGACTTCTGTCTTAGGACACAGCCAGCCTGTGGCAACTCCACAAAAGGAAGTGGAGAAATAAATATCCCTTGTTCACTCACTCTCATCTTCCAGTCTCTACTGAGGGTCCCCATAGCTGAGCTCATCCAGAAACCAGAGGGCAAGGCAGCCCTGCTGGAGATGTACAGATTTATTTCTGTGGGCCCAGGGTAGTGGGAGCAGGATAGAAAGTGCATCTGGAAGCACAGATAGAAGCTACCTAGCTCACAGTGAAGGGCCAAGGGATATTTTCATTTTTGTTTCTCTGCTTAACTGTGTTATGCAAGCATCTGTAGATAGCCTCATCTTTCAAAACTGGCATTTGACAATTCTGCCAACCCAATAACTAAAATGTGTGAAATCTGCCCAGAGCATGTATCCTGTGTAACAGTGGCATGGCATGGGAAAGCAGCTTAATTTAGCTTCTAATGGCTCCACAGTGTTAATAATTTTTGCAGTATGAATATATGCAGAGAGACATTATAATCTATCTTTCAAAACCATGGCATCTGTTATCAGAGACAAAGTCCCATCTTACCTGCAGAATAATGTGACCAAATGTGTTTATCTTGATGAATTTTCCTTTTTAATGTCAATTGATTTAATCTGTGCAATATCCCAGCAACGGGTGGAATTATCCCCATTTTTAAAGCTGAGGAAACTGAGGCTTGGTGAGAGCAAGTGTCCCTCGAACCATGAGTACTTAAGGATGGGATTCAAACCCAGACCTATCTCACACAGGAGCCAACCTCTCTCTTCTTTACCACTTGGTGCTCTTGATTGTCTTTATTTATTGCCCTAGAAAGATATGTTCTTAATGAAATGGGCTCAGCCATTCCAAAATGATGGCTGCCTGTAACTAGACATGCCCGCTACAGTTAATTAGGGAAGCGGACCCCCACTGAGATGAAAACAGAGGTAGAAGCAATTAACTAAGAATCTCTCTGCAGAGAACAGTCACATCGTGGCTCTCCATTTCCCATTAAGAGTGGAAACTGTAGGAAAGTTACTCTCTGTAGGGAGTAGGCCAAGAAATGAGGCTTCAGTTTTTGAATAATCAACCACATTGATCTGGGAGCATGCTCAGTCACATTGCGAAGTATCATAAATTCTTGAATAGACTCTTTCTCCTCTTCTTTTGGGAGTCTCACACCCATGTCTCCCTGTCTCCCACCTATAAATGTAAAAGAGACTTCCTATCCACTGCAAGATCTTGTTCAACCTATCTTCCTGTAATAGTCAAAATTCAGGATTTTTCTGAGCTTGCTACTAAATTATAGAAACCATGTAGCTTTATGCATCAAGTGAGAATAATAAAAACTGCTCTAGTCACTTCCCAGTGGTTGTCCTGGAGCCTAAAGAAGCATAAAGCTTTTCAAAACCCCCAAGGGCCTAATATTGCAAGTGATTGCTCACAAGGTTGCTGTCAACTCTCTCCTTATGACTAACTCCCTAGGTCTCTGTCCTTGACTTTTCCAACAAATCTGTTACTCTATTAATTGCTCTTGGCAGTCTCATTCATTGTCATTGCTAGATGTTTCCACTTTCATAGGCCTTTTAGGGGTGGACCTGCCCAGGGACTCTGCCAGCCACAGCACATAGGCTGTCCCCCAGCCACCACTAAGTCAAACCACATATGCCCTGCAACTCCTCTGTTGTCTAGTAACCTTTAATAAACCCCATAAGCAGGTGTCTAGGGACCTGGCTCTGCCACTATGCACCTGATTTCCTAGGAGAATATGAGTGTGAGATTCAGGAAGCCAGAGAAATTAACAGGAAACTTTCCTCTGAGTATGGAGGAGTGAGATTGATTCACCCAAACACATTAGGCATTCTTAAAGTAAGTTTGAAAGAAAGGAAAGCAGCTTATCTTTATGGCATGAGTAGCACCTGGTTCTTCCAATCAGTGTATTTTTAACCTAACAGACTTGATGTTTTTAGCTATGCAAGAATGAACTTCCTAAGAAAAAATGATAAAACATTTTAAAAATAGAATTTTATCCAATCAGTCAAATACTTATTGACCACCAAAAATGTAATCCCTCGCAATGAGCCAAGTCTAACATGGAAATAGCTTTGTGAGTTTTGCAACCACACATATGGGGTTTGGTCACATTTTTATCTATTTCAAACTGTATTTTTTCCACAGAAAACAAAGAGGCAAAAAATTTAGACATTTTTCTCTATATGCCTAAAAGAGTCCATTTCCCTCTGAAGTTAGACAAAATGAAAACAAGCCACCAATAACAAGCCATTTACAATGATCAATGGGACAATATCATATGTGAGAACACACTGTGCCTCTTGCATATTTTCAAATGTCTGTTTCTTCCGTAAGAGAAAATCTGGAAACATACATCCCTCCTCAAATACATATAAATAGCATAGACTAAAACAAGATAACTACAATGACAAAACTTAATTCATGTCTGTAAATTGTGAAGCATACACTTCACCCAGAGGAAATAAAGTAGGCTATTTGTTTTTAGTACTTTCTCAGTGTTAAAATAACACAGTCATTGTTTTCCAATGAGAGTGCTGTTAGATCTCTTATCTAACCCTCCCTATACAAGCAACATGGGGTTGCTGTCTCTAGGCATGGGAAAGTCAGTTTAAGAAAGGGAAGGAGGCCGGGCGCGGTGGCTCAAGCCTGTAATCCCAGCACTTTGGGAGGCCGAGACGGGTGGATTACGAGGTCAGGAGATCGAGACCATCCTGGCTAACACGGTGAAACCCCGTCTCTACTAAAAAATACAAAAAACTAGCCGGGCGAGGTGGCGGGCAACTGTAGTCCCAGCTACTCGGGAGGCTGAGGCAGGAGAATGGCC